ATGTTAATTACCATCTGTTGCATGAGGAAGCATCAATGGTGAAGGTTGAGCAATGCATTAGTATTCTCTCTGCCCCTTGTTCCACTATGTTCCCTGAGCCTTAGGTGTAAAGGTTGCATTGTAGATGTGTTACTTAAGGCTGGGCCTCTCATAGACACTTGTTCTCTATGTGTGACCAGTTGTGGAACTCCTTAATAGTCTCCATCTGTTAGAAAAAGGAGCTCGGGGCTGGAGAGATGGCTCAGTGGTTAAGAGCACTGGCTGCTCTTGCAGAGGACCTGGGTTCAGTTCCCAGCACCCAAATGGTGACTAACAGCTGTCTGTAACTCCAGTTCCAGGGATCGGCAGCCCTCTTCTGACCTCCGAGGGCATTGCACAACATGGGTGCACTTACTTATGTGAAGGTAATACACTCATAAAATTTTTTTTAAATATGTATTTTTTTTAAAAGAAGCTTCTTTGATGAGTGATGAGAGGTATACTTGTTCATAAATACAAGGATACATATTTAGCATACAGTAAGAAATTACATTTGTCTAGGGATGTGATAGATGTAGGTTTTTCTCTAGACTCTATGGTCTCTTCAGCCATTGAAAGGGCCTTAAGTTCAATTAGTCAACTATTGATTACCCCCAAGGTAAAAGTGCCACTACTGCACCAATGGTGATAGTTTACTGCACCAGTCATTGTCATGGTTGTTTGACTTTACAGCTGGGTTGAACTATTGATTGGTTTTCTCTCTTAGCAGCTTGCATTGTGTCTAGTATTGTCTGATACTGTGAGAACTAGTCTTCAGGGAGGAGGCATCCAGGTCAGTTCCAGCTTGATTGCTTCAAGTCCTGTGTCCCAGGTATGTCCTTCCTGTCTTTAGCAATAGAGTCTTACCTTCAAGTTCTGGGAGGCAGTCAAGGACTGCAGCAATAGCCTGTGTTATTTTGGGAGTCTCTTGCACTACCCTGACCAGCAACTCAAAGGGAAGTGCCTGGTACTGTGTTTTTTGTTATAGAGCCTTCAACTATACATATATATATATATA